ATCATTCAGCTGCAGTCCGCGCACTGCGGAAAATCAAACACCGCACTTAGACTTTCCCTCTGGTTTGAAATGAACTTTCGTACGGAACTAGAGTTCACGGCCTTCACGCGCCAGAATTCAGAGATCGCGTAGATACTGGAACCAAGATCAAGAGTCCATAAACAGTTTATGCACTCTTGATATTATTTTATAATAATTGTGTCACCAATGGAATGCCTCTATATATATATATATATATATGTACATGTGCATCATTATCAAATTCAATACCGTATTTTACGCATTGATGTGCAAGCCTTTCCTTGCAGAAAATGGCACTACATATATATGTATACATATATAGTCTTGCATATTCATGTTCTTCTGCAGGGGGAATCATACGGGTAGTGGCGGTGATACTTTCTTTTATACGCATGTCATTCTGTGGATGTTACTGTTGCAGAATTTCATGACTCTGTCTTAAAATTGTCTTGTCTTTCAGAAAATTCAGATGTCCACACCCTAAATCACATTTACTTGAGAATTGTAACCAGGTGCGTGCCGCTGATGTTTTTGTTGATTCTGTGTTTATAATTGTAGTCATGGGTTGTCGTGATAAGGTCATCCGGCATCATATTGTACTGAAATTGTAATCCTGTTGATGTCAATAAAATTTTTGGAAGCTGTTCAATGACTTCAAAGTGTTACAAGTCCACGATTGTCTAAAACAACACAGCAAAGTAGGAACAATAAACATGTATTAAAATGTAAACAAATACATTGTCCGACACCTCGTTCCAACAACTACACTGATCCTGAGGATATAAGGGGCAAGGATATATGGTTGGAGGTACTGAGAGATAAACAAGGCACTCCATAATAATAGAATGTTACACGACTTTGGGGGAGTATGAATGATATCCAGTCAAACCTCTTTAGGATAGCCATTGGCGGACTATGCTCGGCCAATCGTCAAATTATGCTTTTGATTATGCCACAATTATGCTGAATTATGCTCGGTTCCACTATGTATTCACGCTGTACATAGTGCATTGAGAAACCACGCACACACACGGCCATGCCCTAAGCATAATTTTTGTCTAAACCGAAAGATTATACTGACCTTACACGTTGAAATCCATATATTATGCCGGAGGACAAAGCTGTATGATGCCCTAAGCATAATTTTTTGTCTAAACCGAAAGATTATGCCGACCTTACACGTTGGAATCCGTATATGCCGGAGCATTATTTTTTGACGAAATCCCAAGATTATGCCAAAATTTTAATAATGCCGGCATAATCCGCCAAGGGCTACTTTAGGATGAACATCAAGGGACCGATGGTATCTGTTCTATGAGTTTGTCTTAACCCTATTTTATAACGAGTGAATACAATTATTTCTCCAATAGAGACACGAATAGATTTCTTCTACAGCGAAAGATTCTAAGCCAGACCAAACCATTGACTCGTCTTGTATGAAACAAATGAGTCACTGAACCTTTCTGTAGCAACATGACGGCAACTGAAACAACAGCAGAGAAAATACGATACATGCACAGCACATTCTTGCAGGTACTACAAACAGATTGCAGATCGCAATTCTTGCTCTGCCGGCACGCTACTTTATTTGGGGCAGTGCAATCTCGGCGCTACTCACAAATCAAACAGCCCAGACTCGAGTAAACAAATCCAATCGTACGAGATTTTCACGAGACGAGACTGCACCCATTGGCTTGTTTCGTATGAAGCAAACAAGTCACTGAATGCATGAACCTCTTCATAATGGAGATTTTCGCTGATATGCGAATTTATTATGCATACTCGGCCGATGCGTCCTTGAACCTTTCCCTCCAGATTGGGAACTGCCAACGATGCTATGCCACTGCAAAATTCAGATTCTACCCTTTGATCGCAGCACGGAATGCCGGAAGCAATCATGACCAGTGCCTTACTTGTAACGTACCAATGTACAATGAACATGAGTATTTCGACAACACATCTAAGCCTCAGCAGCAAGATAAGCCTTACCGTCAAGAAGGTGAACTCGCGTACTTCGCACACTGTTGGCAAGGGCAAGGAGATACGAGTGGATCTAAATCCGAATAAAATCAGCACACGTTTCCGTAAATGAAAGGGTGGGCATAAGCAAATGAATCGAAGGAAAGTGGTCAACTCAGAGATCACCTGTCATTGAGTATTCCGTAAAAGGAGGCCTCGACAGCAGAAAAGCTAAATTTAGAAAAGAGATAATGGCAGCTTTTCCATTATTTATTGTATTCCACCTAAACTCAGCACACACACACTTTTCGTAAATGAAAGAGTCAACACAAGCAAATGAATCAAAGGGAACTGGTCAACTCACCTGTCATTGAGTAATATTCCGTGAAAGGAGGTCTCAGCAGAGCCGAAGCGAAATAAGCCAGGACACGAAATATCCGAAACAGCTCATGCAAGAAGCAGTTCCAAAGAAGGAAGTTCCTCGCGCATGCACATCCGAAAACGGACTGCACTGCACTGCAACACAATGTCTTCCGTGCACGTGCACAGCACGCGGCTACCACTCGTTGGTAGATCTAATACCGAGCACCTTACGTAGAAACCTACGTAGCCTAAGTGAAATACCGAGCACCTTACGTAGAAACCTACGTAGCATAGCGATGTCGTTTTTCTGCCATGTGAACACAATAATAGAAAAGCTGACAGGATCGCTTTTCTAAATAACCCCCCAGCGTGTGCAACTCCCACATACCCTGCTGTCCCGACAGAATTTCAAGTTTGGCGTCATTATTTATGACGCAATGCTCCTTGCGCCAGTGATTTACAACATGTGTACGGGTGTCAACGCATTACACGTTTTTTTTCTTTTCAATAATTTGTACAGGATCAGATCGGCTTCGGTCAACCACAGGTTCCGGATTCGTCTGATAATTTTTTTTTGAATTCGCAATACCAAACAGGCAATAAGCCCAATTACATGGAAGCGAATAAAAGAATGCTAAGAATGAGGCATTGGAGTGGATATTGTTTCAAGTGGAAATACTGATCCCGGGAGGTACTACAAATAGGTACAATGAAAATCTGAAAAGGCCATGGTACTGTCGTTTACCATGCTGGAAGCAGCTACATGTAGAAGAAAAAACAACAAGAAAGACATTTATCTCATGTATTGGACAAACAGAGCTAACAGGAGAAGACCGTTCGTTATATGCCTATACATACTGTCCGTGTGTGTGTGTGGGGGGGGGGGGGTGGGGGGGGGATGCGAAATCGGCCACGGCAGTGCAGGAACGTACACTGGCTGGCAGAGTGTTCCACAGCGCAGGTCCACGGAAGAACGGTCGGTGAGTGCCTGTATTCGTCCTGGCCAGCGGGAGAATGAGCCGGGCGTTGGCTTGATGTCGAGTTGGGGCCGTGGTTGCGGGCGTCAGCTGCTTTGAAAGCCCTGTACTACATTGGCCTTTCAGGCCGCGCCAGATGAGATCGAGGAGTCGTTGGTGTTGTGTCTCCTTGATTTTGCGGAGGGATATGCTCTCCCTTTGGTGGCTTACCGAAGATGTGGGTGGTAGGCCGTGTACAGTGCGCATTGCATCATTAAAATGACGTCAACTTGAAATTCTGTCGGGACAGCAGTCTAGTGTTGAAACGAGCGTATCTATAACAAACGAGCGATCAGTTCCACTAACGATCAAGCTATCGAGCGAGCTAACGAGTTTCAATTCATTGATGTGGCAAATAATGATTTTTTAAATTTTTTCCTAGGTTCGATTTTTTTCAATTTAGCTGGTCCAAATTATCACCGCCGGCGTTTGGGGTTGCTGCTGCTTCACTTCGGACTGCTGTTTGTTGTCGAGATGTCTTTTCAGCGCCGTCATTGAGCAGCCTACGTAAGAATAGACCGTTTTGCAAAGACTGTAGCCCTGTTCTTCGCTGCATCGCGGGAGAAAACTTCCAAATGACTGAGCGTAACTTTCACTCGAATCGAGAGTTGACAGAAGTTTGTCCTGCAGCAGGTCAGCAGATGCGGAAGAAGACATCAGTGGAGTCCACGACAGCTGCAACGACAACTGAAATAACTCAGTGTCGTGCAGGCGGCATGCACTCACTGTAACTGTGAGTGATGTTCACTTTGCGCTGGACTGGACTCTCGATCGACCAGGGAGTCGTAAAAAACATTTCCGACTCCCCGCTCGACTTGTACTGCCATGTGTACGGATTACGGCGTACGGTGTTCGTTAGTGCAAACGAGCTGGACGCACAAACGAGCCGAGTTTCTGGCGACAGCACCCATAGTCGAGTTGCACACTCTGGGGGGTTATGTAGTCTTGGTGAAAAAAGAAGCAGTAGAATGGTGCTTCACTTCATGTCTGACACACGTGATGAGTCAGAGCAGTTGCCAGGAAGCGGCCTTCCATGGCTTGGGCGAAAATGAACAAGCTTCAGAATCGCTCCAAGCACTGGTGGAGACGAACGGTCACATTTCGTATACTTTTCAATGCGTTTTGACATGCGACCTGTTCACCACAATCTCGGGGTGAGCGCCGGGGCGGTGCCGGGCACAGCATCCTTGAAAACCTCTATTGTCACATTGTCGCATGTATGTCACGTATCACAACAGCACACACACAGCAGCAGCAGCAGCACACACACACACACACACGCACACACCCACACACATGCATGCACACACACACACACACACACACACACACACACACACACACACACACATGCACGCACATACATGCACACACACACACACACACACACACACACACACACACACACACACACACACACACACACACACACACACACACACACTCAAATTCACACGCACACGCACACACACACACACACACACACACACTTACACGCACACACAGACGCACACACACACAGACGCACATGCACACACACACACACACACACACACACACACACACACACACACCAAAGAAACGTGTGTGCATGTACACTTCATTTCAATAGCAGATACTTACTGTCTTGACATTGGTCTCCGTGGAATCCTCTCCGGCAGCTGCATTGGCCGTCCTGTTTACACCGGCCGTTATTCAAGCAATGGCATACTGGAGTAGTGATACAGTGTATTCAACAAACACACACACGAATAGAGACAGAACACCATAGCTTATCAGGGCGAAATACAGAACCAAAGTTAGGGGAGGGGGGGAGTATGTTTTGTGAAAATGAAGGAATTAGAACTATACTAACAAACTTACATCCCAGCAGGAAGGGTGAACCAGTGGATTTAGATAGAAATTTCTGCATGGACTTTTATGGAATAGCGTTGTGGGCGAGGAAAGTGGCGTTGTATCGAATATAAGGCCATGGCATACGGTAGACAGTACAACTTGTGACTAACGACCACCCCTTGGGGCCAGAGAAAGCCGTCTTTAGTGGCCGGTGGTCCTTAGTTAGAGGTTTGCACCGCGCAACCATATGATTGTGAATGTGAGATCGTCCACGCCTGGCGAAGTGGTCTGTAGTACCAGGCCGGTCGCTAGTCACGGTGGTCTTTAGTACCAGGCCGGTCGCTAGTCACGGTGGTCTTTAGTACCAGGTTTTACTGTATATTCATCGGCCACTGTGACCCGCAATGAGTACAGTTTTCCGGGGCAAGTGATGATTATTGGATGCAATGGCTCAAACAGTACTGTGCCAATGTGCAGGTCCATGGTGTGTACTCGTCAGTCATCATGCACATACATAGGCAGCACTCCCACTCTGAGGTAGATGGGGGGGGGCACTCTCTTTACTAGAAGAGGGGGGGGGGGGGGGAGGGATCAAAAGTAAAGTAGGATGCAGCACCCTATTGGGTGCTGGTATTTTATATACAGTATAAAAAGTAGTTATAGGCTAAAAAGACTATGAATGCTTTTTATACAATACCGCTGAGGCTAATAAAATTAATACTGTTTGTAAAATACTCCCTTTTTAGGGTAAAGTGCAGTGCTGCATGGATAAGTGCAGTGGTACTTATTAAGTCAAAGTAAATTTAATGGAATTGGATACTGTCGATGGTGTAGCAATTAGTGCGGGTATTTATCAAAGGTCAATATAAATGTATTAGTCGGTTTACTTGAATGGGACGAAGGCACACGAAGGCATAACCGGTGCCTCAAACGCACAGCATACATGCACCCATGAGTCGTACAGTCTTTGACAGGCTAGAGCTAACAATACAACAGTTTTCCTCTGTCCTTACCTTCTGTGCAGTGCTCTCCGAACACTCCTTCCTTGCATTGACACTCTGAGTTCTTTCTCACCCAGTTACTTTCGCACAAGGCTGTGTTATATATCACAAGGAAGAGGAACAAGGGAGTAAGAGAGCAATAGAGCCATAACAGAGACGAACAGACAAGGGTTTCATGGTGAGAGAAGAAGAATAAAACACCGCTCCGACCCCTGTGAAGCGGGAAGTATCCTGTGCGAGGCAGAGCAAAGGCAGCCGCAACCAAACACGGATGGCGTTGTTCTAGGTACAAACCAAACTTTCCTAGACTCACATGAGAAGGATGCTTTGGAGTCTCCTAAAATTCAGAGAGGATATAAGAGCACTTCTCGAACTTTCCCGAAAGGCTCGAACTTTTCCGAGAGGATTTGAGAACGCACCCTAAGTATTCTAAAATGAATTCATCTGCAAGATCAGTCAGGAGAGTGAACTGCCTGAAAAGAGAAAAATGTCGGACCCACCAGGACTCAAACCCGGCACCTTGGGCAATGCTCTAACCATCTGAGCTATGGGACCAGCCTGAACCTAGAAGGCGTTGAGAAGTTTACGACAGTTCTCCCAATCCGTTCGAAATTCATCTTTACTTACAGAATTGGCACTTGTCTCCGGTGAATCCTTCTCGGCAGCTGCATTTACCCTCGCTATCACACCGGCCCTGGTTCAAGCATGTGCATGCTATGGACACAGTGGAAACAACATCACAGCGCAAGACAGAATAAAAAAAACATGGCAATTATTCATAGAGCATTGGGAATAAAGCAGTTCGACAGCAAAACGTCACCAGCGAATAAGCCCGAGTGTCCACTTGATCTAGGGATCATGATCAGACTGCGCAGATGCTAGCCTTCGGTGTACTGGTGTACGTAGTGAGAAATCTACTCGCGGCACGTCTGGTTTCTCTGTATGCCGAGTTGTACCCATGTGGCGACTTTGTCCTGCTTTCACAATACTGAAAGTGGTGCAGGTAACGGTAGACCGGTCAACTGGCGTTGGCCATGATACATGCCCGTTTCCCGACTGTCATTTCAGTGTTGTACTCAGACTTTGAATGATGTCTGCTCAGATTATTTTTGAAGAAAAGTGTGTAATTTGCCGGCCGCTCTTAGTCTTACCCTTTTCACACTGTTCACAATAGGGCGTGTGGGGGTTACACATACAACTCGTGTTCGGCGCAAGAACACCGCTCCCACAGGACTCTGCGCAGAAAACGAAAGCAAACAGCTCAATAGCACAAGTTCCATTCCGCACCCCAGGCTGATGCAGGATCACAGGATCACAGGATAATAGTTTTACTAGGTTTTGCAGATTGAGTACTAGGTTTTATTCATTCGAGCCGACGAGACCACACGACGCTTGCAGACCACAGCACGAAAGTAAGATGGCAACAAAGAATTATGATTATCATATCCACTTGCGCTCGACTTGAGGACGGCAGCTCAGAAAGCGTCATCATTGTCATCGCCATGAACAACCACTGGGTAATTCTAAAGCCCTGTTGGTACAAGCCGGGGTGGCAAAAGGCAGGGGCGTCCGAACCGGTGCTGCAGATGCGGCTTTGGCCGCGCCAATACAATTCCCTGTGATTTTTGAAGCAATAAGATATGGTCTGTTTGCCCCCCCCCCTCATAGTCGCACCAATGCAGAGTACCTTCTGACAGCCTGCATTGAAGTAAGGAATGTTGGCGCAAATCCTGTTGCCACAAGATACATTTTAGAACAACAAATGGCCACGCACATCATGTTGTTGGCAGGTACAAAAGCATGATTGGGAATTGCAAGCCGTTGGTGGAGCCAGCCATTAGTTTTCATCTCACTTACTGACACAGAGGATTTGGGCTCGCTGATTGCTTTCGGCATCATCATACAACAGACCCTCCGTAGTAAACTTTACGGTTTTGTGAACCAACTCTCCGTCTATCTCGACGGATCTGACCTGGTAGGGATGGTGCGTGGGTTTGTTCTCCAGGGCTAATGTATTTAGCCAGCGGTCTACCAGTGCATCGCCGTGTACTTACAGCCAGGCCATGCTGATGAGGCGAAGTCCATACTGCAGACACGCTTCCTGGGCGAAAGGCTCCGTTACGATACGCCTCGATGCTGGTGTTGCCGCGGCGTACACCGAGTCGTTAGCGTGAAGCCATCGGGCTGCAAGACAAGGGCAAGTACAGAGGCGGGTAGAGGGTAAGCTTAAATACTGTATAAGCAGAAATATTCGTCAAGGATTTAATTTCGTCGTTTTCATCCGAGGGGCGTTTGGACTAAATTAAAAGCCGGACTGATGTCGATTTGTCCAGCCTTCCAATGTAATCTTATGGTCCATGGATTAAACTTTCAACCGGACGAACTCCCTTTCTCTGGAGTTGGACGAAATTGTTGACCGACTGAATTTTCTAGGGCTTAAACGGGTTGGGGTTTGATCGGGTAACATGTTCGGGTATTTTTATCCGGGTAGCACGGGTACCCTGTCGGGTATTTTTATCCGGGTAGCACGGGTACCCTGTCGGGTATTTTTATCCGGGTAGCACGGGTACCCTGTCGGGTATTTTTTGACATAGTTTGTACTGTGAGTATTTAGAAAAGCGATCCTGTCAGTTTTCTATTATTGTGTTCACATGGCAAGAAAAACGACACCGCTATGCTACGTAAGTTTCTACGTAAGGTGCTCGGTATTTCACTTAGGCTACGTAAGTCTCTACGTATGGTGCTCGGTATTAGATCTACCAACGGGTGGTAGCCGCGTGCTGTGCACGTGCACGGCAGACTTTGTGTTCAGTCCGCGGATATCCGTGTTCGGATGTGCATGCGCGAGGAACTTCCTTCTTTGGAACTGCTTCTTGCATGAGCTGTTTCGGATATTTCGTCTCCTGGCCTGGCTTATTTCGTTTCGGCGCTGCTGAGACCTCCTTTCGCGGAATATTACTCAATTACAGGTGAGTTGACCAGTTGCCTTTGATTCATTTGCTTGTGTTGACTCTTTCATTCACGAAAAGTGTGCTGATTTTAGGCGGAATGCAATAAATAATGGAAAAGCTGACAGGATCTCTTTTCTAAATTTAGCTTTTCCGCTGCCGAGGCCACCTTTTACGGAATACTCGATGACAGATGATCTCTGAGTTGACCGGTTTCCTTCGATTCATTTGCTTATGCTCACCCTTTCATTTACGGAAACGTGTGCTGATTTTATTCGGATTTAGATCCATTTTTGTCTCTTTGCCCTTGTCTACAGTGTACGAAGAACGCGAGTTCACCTTCTTATTTTTTTTTTTTTATTATTATCAATAAAAAGAACAAATTCTGCAGTCATCGCCACACTACAACGAAGTCATGAAAGTTTACCAGAATTAATTTTCTTGTCACATTCATCAGTGGAAAGTCGTGACTGAAGAGTAACCATGCTGAACAATGATTAAATATACATTCAATGATGTGTTACGAGAACAAACTACAGTGCCAAAATAGAAAGAGGGAAGGTGAGACAATAGCAGTGAAGTGAGAGCTAAGTGCAACGGTGGGTGAAAAACTAATAATTATAACGCTAAAACTGTGTAGTGAGACAAACAATCATGCTGTGCACCTACGAAAACAATTTTAACGCAACTACATGTTTCTTCTGCTTACAAAGATCAGGCTTATGCAAACGAATACAAACAGCCTCAAGTACTTTCAACTGACTAGCATACCGTGCACGACAAAGAACAGAAAAACTAAAATCATCATACACCTGCAGACACTTAGGGTGAGACAACAAAAACGTTTTTCCTTTTTATCCAGCCTTTCGCTCATGAGTTCCTTCAATAGATCGTCAGGGTAAGAAGTCTGCCGTTTTTCTTCACTTGTTGCTGTTTGTATTCGTTTGCATAAGCCTTGAATGTATATTTAATCATTGTTCAGCATGGTTACTCTTCAGTCACGACTTTCCACTGATGAATGTGACAAGAAAATTAATTCTGGTAAACTTTCATGACTTCGTTGTAGTGTGGCGATGACTGCAGAATTTGTTCTTTTTATTGCTATTATAAAATTGTTGTCTCCACGTCGATTATTTATTATTATCATTTAAATTTTGAATAGGGCAATCCCCTTCTTGACGGTAAGGCTTATGTTAGATGTGTTCCCGAAATACTCATATTCATTGTACATTGGTACGTTACAAGTAAGGCACTGGTCAGTGGCATACTATCGTTGGCAGTTCCCAATCTGGAGGGAAAGGTTCAAGGACCCATTGACCGAGTTTGCAAAATAAATTCGCATATCAGGGAAAATCTCCATTGTGGAGAGGTTCAGTAACTTGTTTGCTTCATACGAAACAATCCAATGGGTGGAGTCTCGTGAAAATCTCGTACTTGTATGATTGGATTTGTTTACTCGAGCCTGGGCTGTTTGATTTGTGAGTACCGCCGAGATTGCACCGCCCCAAATAAAGTTTCGTGCCGCCAAAGCTAGAAATACGACCTGCAATCTGTTTGTAGTACCTGCAAGAATGTGGAGTACATGTATCGTACTTTTTCTGTTTCAGTTGCCGTCATGTTGCTAAAGAAAGGTTCAGTAGAGAGGTTCTGCAAAACGAAAATTCGAACGAAGTTTCGCGACAGTCCTTGTGAAAGTGTGTACGAATTTTTGCACGAACTTTACGTTCTGCACAGTTTGCGCGGGCCAAGTGCACGTACACCATGACCCGATCTCACGAAATTTCCTACGACAGTTCATTTCGCGTTCCCTGCAAGTTTCGCATCCAAAGGTGCGAAAGTTCGTGCGAAGTTTCGCACTTCATGATGTAGAGCGAAAGTTTGTACGCATTTTCGTTTTGCAGAACCTCTCTAGTTTGTTTCATACGATACGAGTCAATGAGTCGGTGTGGCTTAGAATCTTTCGCTGAAGAAGAAATCTATTCATCTGTCTATTGGAGAAATAAGATTGAGTATTCACTGGTTATAAAATAGGTTAAGACAAACTCACAGAATAAAATACCATCGGTCCATTGGTGTTCGTCCTAAAGAGGTTCGACTGGATATTATTCATACTCACCAAAAGACGTGTAACATTTTATTATTGTGGAGTGCCTTGTTTATCTCTCAGTACCTCCAACCATAGCCTTGCCCCTTTTATCCTCAGGATCAGTGTAGTTGTTGGAACGAGGTGTCGGACTCAGCAATGTATTTGTTTACATTTTAATACATGTTTATTGTTCCTCCTTTGCTGTGTTGTTTTAGAAAATCGTGGACTGACAGTTTGAAGTCATTGAACTACTTCCAAAAGTTGTATCGACATCAACAGGATTACGATTTCAGTGCAATATGATGCAGGATGACCTTATCACGATAACCCATGATTATAAACCATTATAAACACAGAATCAACAAAAACATCTGCGACACGCACCTTCCTACTTTTCTCAAATAAATCTGATCGAGGGTGGGGAAATCTGAAATATCTGAAAGGCAAGACAATTTTATGACAGAGTCATGACATTCTGCAACAGCAAGCTGCAACATGCACAGAATGACCTCCGTATAAAAAAAGTATCACCACCACCAGACCACTACTCACATGTTTCCTCGCAGAAGAATAGCATAAAGCGGGATTCACAGAAGCTTTTTTGCGATGCGACACGCGATGCGACAGACGCGAAACCGGGAAAACCCCAAATCGCAGCCATGTCGCACCCCACGCAACTGCCGCAACTGGGCCATCGCAGGCCATCGCAGAAGTTGAGCTTGGCTCAACTTTTGCGATGCGATGCGATGCGACAAGCGATTTGGTGTACGATTTTGACCTTTTCTACAGCAAAGTTGTACAAAGGCGCAAGAGTTGCCTATAAATTTTTACAAGTTGTGTCAAACCGCGCGAATATCATGGTGACGTACCCAAATCAGCAAAACTTTGTCGCATCGCTGACTTCTTCTGTGAATGGCATTTCGCGAGTTCGCATCGCACGCATCCATCGCAGATCGCGTCGCATCGCGTGTCGCATCGCAAAAAAGCTTCTGTGAATCCCGCTTTAGGCTAGTGCCATTTTCTGCAAGAAAAGGCTTGCACATCAATGCGTATAATACGGTATTGATATGATGTGAAGGCCATCATTTACATATTGATATAGCTATAGGGCATTCCATTGATTGGTGACAGAAAAAACAAAAGAAATTATAGCAATAAAAACTGCTTTGCAGTCTTCTAAAAAAAGTTATTGTGTTCTAGTCCATGGACCCCGTCTAAAAAGTAAGAAATTAACGAAATGTGATAGCCGAAAATTAAAATTTCACACAAAACCTCACAATAATCACACACAGAATGAAAAGCTACATGTAGAAGACCTTTCCCCTCGTGATCCTCTTTCTTATGCATGCATGTTGCCAATTGTTGGTGCAGTACAAGTTTAGTGTTGAAAGCAGCATTTCAAGTGTTGTGATTATTGTGAGGTTTTGTGGGAAATTTTAATTTTCGGCTATCACATTTCGTTAATTTCTTACTTTTTAGACGGGGTCCATGGACTAGAACACAATAACTTTTTTTAGAAGACTGCCATAAAGCAGTTTTTATTGCTCTAATGCACATGTGCTGCTCAGAAAGTGTAAAGTGTAAAGTGTACAGTAGCACATAGCCATGCTGTTTACATGTACCGTTGCAAAATCACCGTACTCCAGCTACCCGATCGGGTTCTCAGGAGCAAATTGCTACCCTCCAACCTCATCAAATTACGGGTAGCACGGGTACCCTGCTACTCGTTGACACCCCTAGAATTTTCTGCCAGTAGAGTATACCATGTAGCAAGTCCCAACACACCCTCTTCTGACTGGGTGCTCAGCATGTGTGTACCGCTATGTGTTCCTGGCCAAATGAATTGGGGCTATGATTAGTTCGAAGGGATTCGGGAAGCGCATTAAAGCGGTCAGCACCAAGGAATGAGATATGTTTGAATCCAGCTGGAGTTTGCACAACGAGTAAAGAAAGGGAAATATTGACTTGACTATGTAGAGGTACGCTCCCTCATTAGTTCACATCACTGTTTACTGGAACTCAACCACAGTCCATTCATAAAAATTAGGGCTGTCGGGTAGCATTTTCTTCGGGTATCGGGTTCGGTTAGTTTTCCAGTTTTTTTTTCGAGACGCAGCAGTGATGGTGGGGCATTGATG